TATCTTTATGATAAATTTTGTAGAAAAGTTGAATCCAGAAGATAAAAGTTTGAATGGTCAGAAATTTTTGAAGTTTTTTTTTTGAAACTAGGACCCCAGATACTCCGTGACACTGGCAGGAAATTTTTTGCCTGTGTGACATGGCTAAAACATTTCCAAGCAGTGTGACATGGTCAAAAGATTTTTCAGCAGTGTGACATGGCTCAAACATTTCTTAGCAGTGTGACATAACCAAAAGATTTTTCAGCAGTGTGACATAGCTAAAACATTTCCGACCAGTCTGAAACACTTCAAATATTTCCGACCACTCTAACATGCTTCAAACATTTCCGACCAGTCGGAAACACTTCAAATATTTCCTACCACTCTAACATGCTTCAAACATTTCTGACCACTTTCAGATGGCTAGGATATTTTTCAATGCAATATATCAACCCAAATATTTCTGGTCACAATATTGAAGGTCAAACATTTTTGCCCAATGCAATAATATATTTTCCTCCAGAGGCAAAAAAATAAACGGCCAAGGAACCTATTAGCCTGGATATATACCTATATGTTTCAAGGCTAATAGCTTGTTCAAGGTGGGTGACTGAAGTGCTCTTGTAAAGATTGCTATGGACAATCGTCTTTGTGAGTATCCATATTCCAAGTCTTTCAAGGTCTTCTCATTTATTTGATTTTAGCTTTATAAAAGTTTCAGCCCACCTTCCCAGAATTTCATAAATGCAGCACATGTGTCTAGTTACCACCCATTATGATGCACCTTTTGCCTTACTGTTCTAAAAAAAACAGATTGTGTCATGTAAAGAAAAGAAAGTCAAGGATGGTTAGTGCTTGGAAGTTAGGTTAATTAACTGGAAAATAACTGAGACCAGACCGGACCTAACCACAAAAAAACCGGACCGCAGTTAGTGGTTAGTCAATTCTGGAAATGAAATAACCGGTTATTTTGCGGTTAACTAACCGTTAAAAAACCGGTTATGACTGGTTACAACCGACCCTATTATACCCCTTCAAAACGCATCTAAAAGCATGAGAAACGCTAAAAATCTGACAGAGTTATGGTCAAATCTCTAAATTATTGGCTAAAATAGTAGGCTTTCAAGAATATTATTATAAAATTGTCAATTCTTCACCGAATTTAGCGTTCTTGGGCTTGTTTTAAAGCTACGACGCATGGCAATAATGTTTACTGCAAGGAATATGATCAATATACGCCGTTTTAATCGATTTTCCATTTTTTCGGTCCTAACCGGTTAGTAACTGCAACTAACCGGTTTTCATCGGTTATCTTCGGTCCAGTTAGGTTATTTTGGGTCTGGGAACGAACCCTAACCGGTCTCGGTCTCGGTTAGAGCCCCTGGGCACCCAATAACCTAACCTAACCAGACTTTCAAACACTAAGGATGGTAAAGCTTGCCAGCTTTTCCTTTCTTCAAGCTTCAACAGATGGCCTAAAGTTGTCTTCACATGTACAGTGAATGTGTATGGAAGTTAAATCAATTGTTAGAGAGTCATGGGTACATCTCAATGCATATGATTTATACATTCTCCAAACTCTGTCAGAAAAACACAAAAGATACAGATACATATTCCAAATTGCAACATATTCACAAAGAAAGAAGACCTCTACGTACCAACAATGGTAAAAAATACAGGTAAAAGAAATGATGGCTAGCAATGAGGGAGGACTGGGGAGGTACAGATGAAGGGAGAGTGGCATCAAACTCAAAAAGACGTAGTCGAGTCGACCTCAATAGTCGGCACGATGCTTGCAATAAACTTGAGGAAAACAACCAGATAGAAATCGACCCTCATCCCCTCCACCTCCTCTTCCTCAGCCGCAACTTGCAGCTGTTGAATGTGCTTGGCACTCCCAGATGACTTTCGGCTGAACAGCCATTTCTTCTCTTTCTTCAGGGTGTCCTTCCCCGAGGGTTTACCGCGCTGTGCGAGCTGTTCCTCGACGACACTGTTGTTCATCCGTTCTATGACTTTCTTCATGACGCTGGCGTGTTTGCATGGATGTACGGAGGCGGCTTGGAGAGAGGCAGAGTGGATGAATGGTTCGATCGTTACTGTTTTCTGGGCGTGGTCTGCTGAGATGTCTTGGAAGATTTGGGAGGGAGTTAGTGGGGGCGATTCTGTTGTTTTGGTTTAGCTAATTTGAACAATAGAAGGGAAAAGGGTAGAGGCGAACCTCATCGTAGCCGATCAGCCAAACTCGTGGGGTCTGGTAATACTTGTCATATGTGATCATCACATTGTACGTGCGGACTTGAAGCAGATTGCCCTTTGCGACTTCCACATTAGCGCTACAAAGAAACCATCAGCACTCTTTTGACTTTTTCAGAAAACCCAGTAAAGATACCTAGCATCAACCCCGGCAGCAGCAGCGGGTATAACAGCCGTCTTAGGCGCAGCAGCCGTAGCCTCATCATCCCCTTCCTCCAGATCATCCTCCTCCATATCAGGGATATCGTCCAAATCAGGTGTCTCCCACTAGTGGCTACCACTAGTTATCATATAAAACAGGTAACTGCCTATAGGTCCCTGTGTATCCATCCACACTCTTTATGATAGGAAATCATTACTGTTACCATGTTTTTTCATTATCATAAAGGCTGCGCTTTTTCATTAAGTGTAGGCAAGGTTTTGGGCCTCCCTCATAAGGTAGCCTGTGGTTATCATTACCAATTTCATATCTTTTCAAAGCCATATCATTGTGATTTTCATTAGTTGTCTGGCGAGTATCATTGGATATTTCATTAGCTACATGGGTGATATCATTTTGCGATTTTCAATGGTTACTTTGGCAATATCATTGGAAATTTCATATGCTACTTGGGCAATATCATTGTGATTTTCATAAATTATGTGGCCAGTATCATTGGAAATTTCATTAGCTGGTTGTGCAATATCATTGGCAATTTCATTAGCTACTTGGGTGACATCATTGCGATTTTCATTAGCTCCTTTGGCAATATCATTGGAAATTTTATTAGTTACTTGGGCAATATCATTGTGATTTTCATTAGCTACTTGGGCAATATCATTGCGATTTTCATTAGCTCCTTTGGCAATATCATTGGAAATGTTATTAGTTACTTGGGCAATATCATTGGCAATTTCATTAGCTACTTGGGCGACATCATTGTGATTTTCATTAGCTACTTGGGCAATATCATTGCGATTTTCATTAGCTCCTTTGCCAATATCATTGGAAATTATATTAGTTACTTGGGCAATATCATTGTGATTTTCATTAGCTACTTAGGCAATATCATTGGCAATTTCATTAGCTAGTTGGGCGACATCATTGCGATTTTCATTAGCTACTTGGGCAATATCATTGCGATTTTCATTAGCTCCTTTGGCAATATCATTGGAAATTTTATTAGTTACTTGGGCAATATCATTGTGATTTTCATTAGCTACTTGGGCAATATCATTGGCAATTTCATTAGCTACTTGGGCGACATCATTGCGATTTTCATTAGCTACTTGGGCAATATCATTGCGATTTTCATTGGCTCCTTTGGCAATATCATGGGAAATTTCATTGGCTACTTGGGCAACATCATTGCGATTTTCATTAGCTACTTGGGCAATATTATTGGCAATTTTTAGTAATCAGGAGAGTGGTCACATGACCAAACTCCAAAAGGGGTCAAAAAACCAAAGTTGTAGCCCTGCACTGTAGCTTCCCAAATCTGTTTGAATTATGTTCTGAAGTGCTCCTGTTGTGGAGATATGAGGTAAATGAATGTCAAAAGTGTCGCATTTTTTTTTTGTTTTTTGTGTTTTTCTCCATGAAAACAAAACCAAATAACATAATTTCAGTATATTCAGAAAGCTAAAAGAAAGGGCTACAATTATTGTATCGTGGGAAAAATGACCAAAAAAGGAAGGTGCATGCTCTACTATAAGAGTCAGATATAGATTTACTGATAGACTACAAAAAAGTCGCACAGTTTACTGATACCCTATAAAAGACTACAAAAGTCAGACTTAGACTATAAAGTTTGTGATAGACTACAAAAGACTACAAAGTTTACTAATACACTACAAAAGACTACCAAATTTACTGATAGACTACAAAAAAGTCAGACTTAGACTACAAAGTTTACTGATAGACTATAAAAGACTACAAAAGTCGGACTTAGACTACAAAAGCTTAGATTTACACTACAAAGTTAGAGTTAAGGTCAAAAGGTTATCTTGACTACAAAGTTTGTAGTGTCTGCTTTTTGTCATTAGAAAAGTTTGTAGTGACCG